CAGGCTCTGTCCAGCTGTGTTTAAACAGCATGGAGTCCACTGCCTCTAGAATGTCCTCTGGACACAGCTGAGGGAAAGAGCAATGCCAGACACACAGCTGGTGACAGTGAGCAAGACACCGAGGCTGCCAGAGCCTCCCTTGTTCCCTGACCACCGGTGGGTGATCCAAGGATCACTCAGAAAAGGAGAGGCTGACAAAAGGGGAGACCCATCTGACCCATTATCAAAGGGACCAGTTTATCTTAGCCCAGCTCCTCCTCCAAACTCTGTTATCTTCGCTATTGCATTGAACTTAAGTCCAGATTCATGGATGGATTAGTGCAACAGATCTTCCCTGAACCTTAGTAAGGTGCTTGGTATTGGTGCACACAGTGAGGAAAAGGCAGGGCTGTCCATTATCCTGTGGCCCTTGAGCTAGTGTCAGGGGAAGACAGAACGCCCGAGAGAAGGCAGCTTTCAGTAGGAAGGTCCCTGGCCATTTTTGTTTTTAACATAGACATGGAAAAGTCCCATGTGTGATGAGTAAGTGGGCATACTCAAGAAACAACATGATCAGTCCCCTCCCCCACCCTGACTTCTAATACCATAGATATGGTTTGCCTATTTTTGAACTTTAAAAAAACAGAACCATCCGGGGCTTCTTTCACTCAATGCTGTGTGTGTGTGACATCCATCCTGTTGTTTTTGTTTTAATATATATATATATATATATATATATATATATATATATATATATATATATATATATTTTTTTTTTTTTTTTTATTTTTTTTTTAATTTTTTTTTGATCTTCTACAGAGAGAAAGGGAGAGGGATAGAGAGTTATAAACATCGATGAGAGAGAAACATCGATTAGCCGCCTCCTGCATACCCCCCATCGGGGATGTACCTGCAACCAAGGTACGTGCCCTTGACAGGACCTTTCAGTCCCCAGGCCGATGCTCTGTCCACTGAGCCAAACCAGTTTCGGCTCATTCTGTTGATGTTAGTAGCTGTCGCTGGTTCATTCTCAGTGCTGTGTGTCGAATCCCAATGTGATCACAAAGGATCTGCTTTTTGGAGCTTTGTTTTGGTTTTGATAACTAACCATGTTTAAAAGCCATAGCCAGTAATACAAAAGCAAAACATTGAGAGTAATATTTATGAATGCAAGCATTGTTTATTTATTTTTTGCTTTCTCTACGTAATCGTCATTGCAATGCTAAAAGTAACTTTCAACTGTGGTTCTTTTGAGAAGCTGTAGGTGCACACAGATGTTCTCCTTCTCCAAGTATTCTTTAGAAGCAGTCGGACATGGCTTGATCGTAGGAGAATCCAGGGTCCAGTTTGCTAAGTAGACTTCTCTGTGGACTCCCACAAACTGGAATGCTTTCATCAAGCAGAGACCCACTGGGAGATCATTGGCATTCAAATGCTTGATGACTCCATTGGGGTCAGTTAGGAAGAGACCTCTTAGTGTAAGACCTTCTAACAGCACACCTTAGTCTCGGGAAGTCTTTTTAGTCAAATCTGACAGCAGTGTGATGTTCATGTGGCCGGAACAGCCATTCTCCTTCAGTGTGGTGATCCAGGCTAGATGGTTCTAGTGGGGAATCCGCTGACCCTGCAACAACTTCACAGTTCTCAGCATGAAACTCATTGGCTTTGTCATGAAGAGCAATAATCTCTGTAGGGCCCACCAAGTGAAATCCAAAGAAGAGAAAAAGGGCATCAAATATTAGTATTTCTCCCTTGTGTTGTCCAGGCTTAGTTCTTTGAACTATCCTTTGACAAGGCTGTACCCTTAAAACAGGGTGTGTGCTGGGTGGCCATAGGAGCCTGGGATGAGGAACTAGTGTTACAAAAAGCAAATTTTGCTTGATTGCAAGGAAACCACAATACATTTGTCAGGCACATTCTTCTAGAAGCAGCAGGCCTACAGGCTGCCACGGCAGAGATGCCCCCAGGAATGGTCCTCACAAGACTAGCCACTGAATTGAGCAACCTCCCTCACATAGGGGAAGAGGAGGGAGAGGAGGACCAAAGCTTCAGGAAGAATGAAATAGGGCCTGTGGGGGTGGGGCGGAAAGCTGGATCTGTTCCACGGAGGGCCTGGGGTTGCTTTCAGTTTTGCGTGCCCTATTAATGTTCCAGTCCATGTCTCTTGGTAAGCTTATGTGAGTTTTATTTGCAATGTAGGCCTAGAGTGGAATGACTGGGTCATGGGTATGCATTTGTTCAGTTTTGATAGATACCAGCAGGAAGGATTTAAGCAAGTCGTTAGAATTTCCAGACCCTAAAGGTCCTGGTCAACCAGCTCCCGCCCAGGGGAGGAGCTGTGAAATTTGCTTTGGAGAAGAGGTGGGAAGGTGCTGGATTAGGCAGCCCTTAGGGGTGGGGGTGGCCAGTCCTTGGCTCCTTCCTGTCGGGTTTTGGTCCCCTCTTCTTAGTCTGGGGTTTCCAGACTGTACTCCTGAGAGCTGTCCCGGCTACTTGGGAGGGGAGGCGTAAGGGGGCTTCACTTCCCTGCTTCGGCCACAGCACTCCGCTGACCTTCGTTTCACACGGCGGAATTCTGAGAATGACTTCATGTGTTTTTAAGAGGTTTCCTGCGGTGTTTGTAAATGCACTGCTTTATGGTCCGGTCCAGTTGGAAAATTCTATTTTGGGAGCAGGAGGTGGGTGTGGAAAGGGTTAAGCATTATTCAGCCAAAGAGCAAGTTGGCCTTTTAAAGTTCTTCTAGCTCGCTTTGCAAAGCGGAAGATCTCACTCATAACATTCTAAAAAAATGTGTTCAAACAAAACAGCCTCCAAAGTCTAAAGCAGCGGTCGCCAGCCTTGTGGACCTCACGGACCACCCGTGGTCCGCAGACCACTGGTTGGCGACCGCGGGCCTAAAGGATGCGGAGGCCAGACTTCCCTCTGAGGAATATGTAGGCAGCATTTCAGCGACAGTCTTGAGGACATTGTATTTCACCCACTCCTCTACATTTAAAAGCTTATTTTAGTTTAGTTTAGTTTGATTTTATATCTCCATTGGCTGTTCCTAATAGTAGTCACTCAGGGTTGTTTGGGTTCAGTACAGTTCCCAGTTTTGCCAAGGAGTGGTGACGTGGGCGGCCTGTGTGTCCCTCTCTGGGGTGGTGGCCTTCCCTCCTCCGGCAGCAGGCCTAGTTTGGACCTGTAGTTCCACTTGCCGAAGGAGGCCGGGCTGTTCATGGGCCCAGAGAGAAATATGCTCTGCCTTGGCATGTGGCTCTTAGTCAACAGTCTGATAAACAGCTATTTCCCAGGGCTAGCAGGGAACAAAGCCTCTGGCTGCTCTGGGATTTGTCTGCCCCACTCTTCCTGAAACAGCTGTTTATTCTTTTGACAGGAGTTGGACCACAGCACCTTCCCTTCCTCCCAGCCCTGCCTCCTGTAGAACGGCGGAGCTCAACAGGACTTTGTTATTTTGCCTTTTACTCTGAGGGGAGAGAAGCAGACGATGAGGTATGTGAAATGTTGGAATGATTTACTTCTGCCTTGTTGGAGTCACTGCGGGAACTGAGCAGGCAGCAGTGAGGGTCTACCTGGGGGAGGACCCTCGCTCTCCCCTAACTTCTTGCTGGTCCCCCTCTCAGTAGTTCTAGAAGAAGCCAAAGTCCTTCTGTCCCTGGCATGGGATCTAGAAGAGGGAGCTAGTGGATGTTGGCTCAGGGACATCTCTGTAAGTTTTCCTGGATTTGGCTTCCCCTGGAAGGACCTCTAGGGGCTATGGCTGCAGCCTGGGGTTTTCAATGCAGAATGCAGAGTGACAGTGCAGGGGGCACGTAGGGGGATGTGGAGCCCTCTCCGTGCAATAGACTCTTTGTTTACTTTACCTTATTTCTCTTGGAAAAACCCTTGCACAATGTTGGTGTCATGCAGCAAGGCAAAGCTCGCTGGATCTAAGCTTCAGATTTCAGAAGAGACTCAAGAAAAGGTACGACAAGATGTATCTCAGAGAGCAGGTTGTATTGTTTGTGATGGCTGGAGTGACACTTAGCCTTGTATTTAGTCTGAGACTTGTCTGTTAGTTTCCTCCGTCTGTGTTTACCTTGACCCTCATAAAGAAAAATGTAACTGGGAACAGCCTTCTATGCACTCTTTTTCCCAGGAATTATACCGTGTTTCTTCCAATGGGGAGCATTTCCCTATAATACCCACCAATTTATTTATTTATGTACACATTTAATTATTTATTTTAGAGAGAAAGGAGACAGTGAGAGAGAGATTGACTTGTTCCAATTATTTATGCATTCATTGTTTGATTCCTCTATGTGCCCTGATGAGGATCGAACACAAAACCTTGGTGTATTGGGACAACACTTTAGCCAGTTTAGCTTCCCGGCCAGGGCCTACACCCACCCATTTAGAGAAGTTTAGGGGTAAAGCAGCACTCTTCCTCTTCAGCTCCAGCAACAGCCCCCTGTCAGGAGCTGGGCCTGGGAGTCATAGGGTCTGCTTTTCAAATTGGCATCTCCTTCTGGGTGAGCCTGCCATCTCAGCCTCCGCCAAAGCTCAGTTTCCTCAGTGAAAAAGCCGCGACACTGACCATGAGGAGGGATGAACAGATGGAGTGAGTGAGTGAGTGAGTGAGGAAGACCTGTACCAGGCACATAGGAGATGCCTGGGAATGGCAGAGGAGCCAGTGCTCACCAGCAGGTCAAAGGGGAAGCCAGCCCCTCAGTGAGGCTAGCCCCTGATTGGCTAGCTTTGGGCCAATTACTATGTGATAATCATGAGAGGCAAAAAGAGAGAATGCCCCAAAGAGACTTGAATGATTAGTCCATTGTAAGCCCTCAGGTTTTCTGAGAACAGAGTGGTGAAAATGGCGGGCACTGGAGGCTAATGTCCTGGATCTGGACCTGAGTCCCGGCTCTACCACTTCATGCTGTGTGACATTGGGCAAGTTACTTAACCTCTCTGAGCCTCTATTTTCATATATTTAAAATGGGGATAATTCTAGAGTAACTTCACAGGGTTGCTGTGAGGCTTACCTTGAGAAACTGCTGACAAAGGGTTAGCCCAGAGCCTGGCCTAGTTTAGTCTGAGAGCATCCAAGTGTTGTTAGGGCTGAAGCTTATTCAGTTTTCAGGATTTTCTTTAGAAAAAGAATGAAAAATTACAAATACAGTATTAGTAATGGAAATGGATATAATTGACCCTTGAACAACAAAGTTTTGAATTGTGTAGGTCAACTAATACATGGATTTTCCCCCCCAATAAATACTGTAAACATATTTTCTTAACATTTTCTTTTCTCTACTTATTGTAAGAATACAGTATATAATACATATACAAATACATGTTAGCTGTTTATGTAATTGGTAAGGTTTCCATCAATAGTAGGCTATGAGTAGTTAAGTTTTGGGGGAGTCAAAAGTTATATGCAGATTTTCAGCTGCAGGGATTCAGCACCCTAATCCCTGCATTGTTCAAGGGTCAATTTTATTTAGAATATGAGCAGACATATCACAAAAATTACAAAAACTGACAGATACTCCCAATAGGACAAAATCCAGACAACAACATCATCATAAAATAATGTGAAAACAATGTAAAAATAACTAACATTACTTAGGTGCCTAATGCACCAGTCATATTTTGGCTGCACACTCTTGCATTGCCTTGTCCGACAGTGATTTTGTAGTATCATTTTTAATAGAGACAAAAGAAGGACAAGCCAGTTTTGCCTCTAGCAGTGGTTCATCAGCGGTTGCTTTTTATTACTGAGCGTTTAGAAAAGTTTCCTTCAGCTTCACAACTTGTTATTGGTGGTGCCTCATCTGGAAGCCTTTTGGCAGTTTCTTGCTCGGGTAGCTTCAGGCCAGAGCACCAGACAACTGAACTCTTGATCCTGGATGGGGTTGTCTGAAGGGTGTGGGCTTGAGGTCATGACCATCAAGGCCCCTGAGCAGGTAGCAGAGCAGCATTTGTTCAGCTTTTTCTCCTTTTGATTAAAGGAAAGGCTCCTGTGTGTTTCAAGGTCCACCTAGATTCAGTTGTTACAGGGACCCAGGCGGGTGTGCAGCCCCAGACCAAGCCCCAAGGCTGAAGTGACTCCCCCAGGCAGGGACATTCCTCACTTCTGGGAAGCATTAAGCCCCCCCTCCCCCCAATCCCCGCCCCCTGACCCACTCTGCAAAGGGCCTGATGTCAGGCTTTATTGGCTTCTGGGTAAGTAGGCCTCTTGGCTCAACTCCGGTTGGTCAATAATGTTATCATTTGATCGGTACTTCAAGGAATCTATGGGGCCATTGCAGCGAGATGTGCTCCAGGTGGCTAAGTGAACTACCCTCTTATAATGAAACTTCCAGCCGTGGCTGACTTCTCATCCAGGGCCTGGGTCAATTAGGAAAGTCTCTTATGGAAAGTTAGTTCCCAATGACTTGTTTCAGGGATGAGGAGACAAAGGCCAGAGAAACCCCTGACCCCAGTTTCCAATGAAGGTTAGCCTCAGCTTCCTTCCCCGCCCAACCTGAGTTCCAGGCAGTGGAGCAAATACAGGGAGCAGCTGAGCCCTGAGTCCTGGGCGGTGGTGAGCGGAGCTGTCACAAGTCACAGTGAGAATGGGGATGGGCTTGCCTTGAGCTTCTGTGTGATGCTGCCCTGGGGGCCCACCGCCTCTCAGATGAAGCCACCTCTCTGGCTCCAGAGCCACACATTAAAAAGTGTCATCACTGTGGCTGCCATTGGTGGAGCGATTACTGACCCCCGCGCACAATGTGCTTCCTACCCCGGTCTCCTAGGTCTCCTTTTGAACTTTTGAGACCCCCCAGAGGAGGGTGCTTGATGCTGCATTGTTTTGTGTGTGACTAGAGGCTCAGAGAGTTGGAAAACTTGCCCAAGGCCTATGGCCAGGACTGCTGATATGGAATTTAAACATTGAGTGGAGGGTGTGGAGGACCTTTTCCCAAGGTCTTTAATGCCCAATTCTCCTCGCATCCCCCACCCTTCAACCTGTTCACAACTTGTCACTCAGAATCTTTGACTCCATCTCCATCATCGGGGAGTGAGTGAGGCTGGAGAGAGTAGGGGATGGGGGTCCAGGGCTGGGGGAGGAGCCACGGGCAGAGAAAGATTCTTCAGCTGCGGGAAGGTTTGGCTTCCTCTGCTACTGCTGTCCCCCTGCAATTCAGGCTCCCGGAGATAATGGCTTTTCCAGGGCTTCACCTTTCCCCTGACATGAGATGAAGAAAACAAGGTCCACAGTCCACTCCAATTCCTTTCAGAGAGGATTTCTGTTTGGAATCACAGAACAAAGTTGTATGTGTGTATGTGTGTGTGTGTGTGTGTGTGTGTGTGTGTGTGTGTGTGTGTTTGTTCTGTATGGGACAGATGGGGGGGAGGGTAAGGAAGGATTAATTTATGAGCCACTCTAGGGAAATAGAAGCGGAAAAGGAAGATGAGGAGGGTAAAGCTGGGAAGGTGGAGAATAACAGGCTTTCCAAAGTGACCCTGCCCTTAGAAATGCCCCCAGGTTTTTAGCACAATCTGCATGTGTTCCAGGAGGTGGAGGTGGGGGTGAGGGTAGGTGGGGGTGGGGTTGGGGGTGGAGTGGGGTGTGTGTATGGTTTCATTTGTGAACCTGTGCAGGGGCTGAGTTCTGGGAGGGGCCCAGGAGCAGCCCAGTGGGAGGTAGGATGGATTCAGAGAGAAACCGGGAGCACCTGACAAGGGCCTGAGAGATGGTAGGAGGGCTCTGGTGAGTCTGGGTCTGGCTGAGTTCACCAAGTCCTCTCAGGGTTGGGGGCCAGCTGACCCAGTTACACGCTCCCACGTGAGGCAGGTGTCAATATTCAGCAATCCTATTTCTGCGCTCTACCCCTTAAATGAGGAATTTAGAAGCAACCTCATGTTTCCTAGTTGGTGGCTAAGGTATTCAACCACCCATCTTCAGAATTACCCAGTTTTGAAAATTCTGAGAGACAAACACATAAGAGAAAGACGTTTAGACCACGTGCTAGCTGCCAAATGCCTCATTTTTGTCCAGAGAGAAATAGGAAAATGTTTTAAAAGACGCATTGGCCACCCTGCCAACCCTTCCTTCTCTGAGATGTGCATTCCAGATCCCGGGAATCACATCTACACCCACTTCTAGTGCTTCACTAAAGGATGCGATATTGGCTCCTTTGGGTAGCTTCCAATCATGATGGATGGCCAATGCAAGCAATCTATGAAGTCCAGAAAGAAAGGGCTTCATGAATTATTTCTGATGCTAATTGGCAAAATGAAAAATCATAAAACACTTTGCATGGAGAGGCGATTAGGGGTTGTGTCGAAGGCCTCGGTGTTCTGTACCATGAGAGTTTGTGTGCTTCTCTGTCTCATGTTTCTCATTCTGGGAGAAAATTGCATTTGATCCTCAGCAGGTGGGTTGATAAAGGCCAGGCCACACATCCGGCAGTGTGATGGCCTCCTCAGCAGAGGCAGGGTGTTGTAGCAGGGCCCCACCTTAACCAAAGAAAACCGAAGTCTCCCACTCCTGAGGAGCTATTCGTGGGACTGCAGCATAGAACAGATGGATAAACTTTTAGAGTCCCTAATCTACATCTCCCCGCACTTTACTTATTTCAAAACCCTCATTCCTCTCCATCAAATATGTTTTGAGCTCTTGCTAAATACCGGGCACTGGGTCCTCCCGGCAGCCTGTTTTATGACCACCAGTAAAAAGAATGAGCATTTTTTTGTACATTTATATGGTTCTGGGCACAATACTAAGTATTTCATGGACATTATCTCTTGCAATCATGGCCATTTTTATCCCCATTTTAGAGACGACGAAACCAATTTAATATGATCTGTTACAAGTCCATAATCCTTTTTCTGAAACCCTAGGGGCTGGAGTGCAGAATTTTTGTGGTGCAGATTATATATCATATATTATGTGAGACCCCTAGTGCAGCAGCACCAAATAATAAAATGCACCAATATTTATGGAAAGAGACGTTTAAACTGTCTCGCTCAGCGGGCTAAGGATTACAAATAGCCTCATGTCATTGAGGGCCATGATGCCAATTGAATTACAAAAAATGTTTTGGTTTTCAGAGCTTTTTGGAGACATGGATAAGGGACTGCCACGTGTTCAGGGTCCCGGTTTCATGTGTATTGGAGCTCGGTCTCCAGTCGCTGCCTCCATGTGTTTGACCATTATCCACACTTCTCTCTCCAAAGTATAATTGACTTCTCTCATTTATAGCACAGGCCACTGGAATAACCTGCCGCCTCACTTTCCCAGGTCTGCCTTGCCTCCACATTCATTCCCCACCCCAGCACTCCCCAGCTCCAGTGGGAGTTAGATCAGTTGATAGCCAGCTTTAGATGCTTTTGTGGGTCCTCAAACCCCTTTCCACACCTTCCCAGGCTCTGTCTGCCCTGTCCACCCCGCCCTTGTTCCAGCTACTAAGGTGAGAGAACTTTCTCATTTAGGTTTTTGCTTTTGTCTTTTATTCAAACACAAGAAGCTTTTTCTCCTGTCATAGTTGCTCTCCAAAATATTCTTATCCCTTCTCATGGCACACTTTTCACCCCTCTCCATTCGTCTTCATTCCTTCAGAAGCTTAGTCACTTCCCCAGTGAGATCTTCCTCAGCCACCCGAATTAAAGTACTTCCCAACCTGCTGTTCCCTACCCAGCACCCTTACCCCCTCAACCACAATTTCATGCAGCAATCAAGAAATACTTATGCACTTACTATGCACCAGTCATTTACTTGCTGTGGATGTGGAGGGGAAAGGCTGCGGGGTGGGGGGCAGGAAGTGCGTGAGCCTACATTGTCAAGGACTGAGCGGTTTCCCCTCTGAGCACAGGGCATGTAGTCAATATATTAAGGGAATCAAAGCCAGGAAATGGATGGTTCCTTGCAGTCACTTGCCGAGAGGTGGGTGATCTGAGTACCGGCAGCTGGCAGCCATGGGAATCACTTCCAGTTACTCCCCCATGTTCCCCATTCATGGTGGGCCTCATGATAGTCCAGGTACTTATCCCTCTGAGCCCCAGAATGGCCTTAGTGTCCTTCCCAGCAGAAGAGCCCTGTCAATTCATCAACCTGGCCTGATTTGCCATTGCAGACCTATGCAATTTAAGGTAGAGCACACTCCTTAGCTCTAGTTAAATATTCATAAACATTTCCTTTTAGAGAGGATATAGGTGGAAGCATTTCTTAAAAACCGTCTTGCTCTGGATTTATTGAGTCTATTTCCCCCCCCTTTTTTTCTTTTCCCAGGAGAAAATAATGAATGTCAAAGGAAAAGTGATTCTGTCGATGCTGGTTGCCTCAACTGTAATTGTTGTGTTTTGGGAATATATCAACAGGTAATTATGAAATACTTTGAAATGATGTAGATGAAAGTGACTCTGATCTGCTAGTGTTAGCCAAGCCACCAAGTTGAATTAAAGGCAGATTTAACTGAAACCATCACGAAGAGATTCCACCCTCCTGGTGTCCCTGAACCTTGGACTGTCTTTATAAGCCTTCGAGCTCCAGGTGCCTTCTGGCTAATTCACTATCTTCCGTCCTGCCATGTTCCCAATGTCTTGATTTTTGTACTTAGGCAGTTCTGGACAGGCTAAGCACAGAAATAGTAAGGTCTTATTAAGCCCAAAATGTACTTTAGAATAATACATATGGCCAGATATAGAAATTACCTTTAAGAAATTTCAGACACAGATTCCATAAGAAATCCACCCTGGTTTTTGCAATCCTGGATATTTGCAGAGTTTAATGGAGCAATTCAAGTTGTTGACTTTTGTTGCAAAATACACTTGAATCATTGGTGATTCATTTGTGCCTGGCTGAAACTTCCTTTCTTTTCTTTTTTAACTCTGGAAAGTAAAGGGAATGAAACATTCCCGAGTGCATTCACCCAAAAACACTGCTTCTGTGCTTCTGGAAACTACAATGCCTCAGAGATTCCAGCTGGAGAGGCTTCTGATAGAAAGAGGGCTCCACAAGCAGCTGCAAAAATGCATGATGCCTTTGACTTCAAAGGCCCTGGTATAGCTCGTCCAAGAGGTCCATAGTACAGCTAGCTCTAGGCAGGGAATGCTGTCCGGGCACTGTTAATATACTCATGGTGAAGTGTTTTAGTAGCCCCCATATTTCACCATGACAGCCTGGATTAACACGTGAATGTCTTCCAATTCTTAAATTCTAAGATGAGCCAACAGGACCATTGTGGCTACCAAAAAAGGAACTGCACCTTGAGGTCCATCAGTAGAAGAATTGCTCCAGAATTGGGGAGTCTTCCCCCTACACCCTGAGGTGCTGCATAATCTAACTGCTTTGGGAGTGTCATTCTGAACAACTCATTGCAAGAAAAACAATATGAGTGTGACCAAGTTAGGAGGCCTACAAACCAGGTCTTTCAAATTGAGGAAACTGGGGGTACTTAGTCCAAAGAAAAGATGAATCAGAGTTAGATGAAGGGACCCTGAGCCTGCTTAGGTACTCCAGGGCTGAGTTTGGAGTGAGGGCTGCCTGGGCTGATTCTGTGCCACCACTTATCCCCTCGGTGACTTTGGGCAATTTACACAGCCACTCTGTTCCTCATTTTCTCTATTTGTAAAAATGGTGGCAGTGCCCTGACTGGTTTGGCTCAATGGATAAACCATCGGCCTTCCGACTGAAGGATCCCAGGTTCGATTCCAGTCAAGGGCATGTACCTTGGTTGCAGGCACATCCTCAGTAGGAGGTGTGCAGGAGGCAGCTGATTGATGTTTCTCTCTCATCGATGTTTCTAACTCTATCCTCCCTTCCTCTCTGTAAAAACTCAATATTATCTATATCTATATCTGTATCTATATCTATCTATCTATCTATCTATCTATATACTTAAAAATGGTGATAGTAACAGTACCTGCTTCATAGGTTTGTTGGGAGGATTAAATAAGATATTGAGTATAAAGCAGGTGGGGCAATATCTGGAACTTAATAAGCACTTAAGAGATGCAAGCTGCAATTTTCATCTTCATCATAATCACCATCACCATCGTCCTCTCCTCCAGAGGCAGACTAGGACAGGGGTTTTGGCAGATGGCAGGAAGCTCTAGCAGTTCCAAGAATCCAACAGAACAAGTAACCTTTGGGGGTCCTGCCTGAGTTAGGATGCTTGTTTAGGTAACCTTCAAGCTGTGAATGCTTGATTGGATGACCATGGTGCTTTGAATTGCAGCCAGAGTTGTGTTTCCATATTTTGAGGGTTCACAAATTAAATTATTGGAGCCAAAGGCACAAATGTGCATATTGGTAATAGCATCCCATAAAGAGGGTAGTCGGGCAGGTTCTGGCTGCTCTTCAGGCCATGTGGCACCCAGACTGTGGCCACATCATTCTTCAATGTGCAGAGTCTACTTGAATACCTGCAAGGGGCTTAAAGGGCAGCAGAACTGGCTGAGTGGTGATTTGAGATGAGCTGAGTGCACTAACCTTAGACAGGTGGGCAGTGATGGGCTAAAAAGGATTTTAAAATAACTGAACAATCAAACGATTAGTAAATAAAGCTGCTGTCAGCAGTGCATCGGAACTAATGTCACCCAGGACAGCGTTTGATTTGATGCTGGATGGAAAAAAAAAAATCTTAGAATTTTAGAGCCAGAGGAAACTTTGATGTGGCCACAGTTACAGTAAAAGAATGATGATGATGATGGCGATCATGCTGATAGCAGCTACCAGTTACTGAGTGTTGGTTTGTGTGTACTAGGAACTGTGCTGTGCACACCCTCCAGCTCTTAGTCCAAGTTTCTAGATGAGGGTGGAGCAGTGTGTCTCTGAAGCTCTGAGCTGGATGTGGCATTAGGCTCTGCAGTCATTTTGTTTTCTGAGGGAAAGTAAACCCTGGGTGAGGGGTGGCTGGGCTGTGGTGTTCCTGAGGAGATGGCAGGAGGAAAGCCATTTGTGAGCCTCTCTCCCTCGATGAAGCCACAATGAAGAGCTGTCTTTTTTATTTACTAAGACTTGAGTCTCCAGAGACTTCCTTACTGGGTAAATACTGACGTGACTGCAGTGCAACTTCCCATTATCCTGAGGTCATTGGTTTTAACTCAGAGGAAGGTGGAAACCTAGGAGTAGCTAAAACCAGGCTCTCAACTCAGCCCGGGGCTTCAGTGATAATGGCTGCAAAATAGCTTTTCTCAGAATTAAAAGTAACATGATATGTTTTTCTTTCCCCTTTGCTTTTAGCCCAGAAGGCTCTTTCTTGTGGATCTATCATTCAAAGTAAGTGCTTTGAATTCTAGAGGTCTTTGGGATGGCCCATGGCCACTGCTGCACCTCCTACAGTCCCTTCTTAACATGGCAGTTGGTGATGGCACTGTGCTCAAAGGTGGAGGGCAGAGGTGGGTCCCCAGAGATCTGGAGAGCATGCCTCTGGCCTCCTAGACATGCCTTTATAGAGCCATGGCTGTATTTTACCCTTGCTTCTTTATCATGAAGGGTTTCTGTAAGTGGTATCCTTCGCAACATTTCTGCCTTCCCAATAAAGAGAGTCAGGGTGGATAATGGTCCCTTCTGCTAAATTTCCTTGGGACAAAGGACCATGAGAAAAGTTTGGAACTCTGATGAACTAGTGCAGTGGTCGGCAAATTCATTAGTCAAAGCCAAATATCAACAGTACAATGATTGAAATTTATTTGAGAGCCAAATTTTTTAAACTTAAACTTCTTCTAACACCATTTCTTCAAAATAGACTCGCCCAGGCTGTGGTATTTTGTGGAAGAGCCACACTCAAGGGGCTAAAGAGCCACAGTTTGCTGACCACTGAACTAGTGGGTGTATTATTATTATTATCATCATCATCATCGTTCCCAGTAAGAACTATGTAAGCCTTCATTTTTCTATCTTTGGCTTGGTTGCCAGGAAGTCCAGAGCAATGTGGTTTGCTTAACTGCTTGTACTTTCCTCAGGCTTCATTTCTGATACAGCTTATCTCATGGCATTAAGTCTGGGTTTTTATGCTTACAAATGCCATGGGATCTTGGCATTTTCCCCGAACCCACTCAGCCAATATTTCAGCAACAAATGAAAATGGAGGTACAACCTTTATTCTTGAGAGTTGCTGGGATGACCAGGGTCATGTGAAAATACGTACTTAAATGACTAAGTAAATGTTTCTCTTTCTGTTCCCTCTTGTTTGTTTTATTCTGCTATTATTTCCCTGGTTATTGTAACTGTAGTTCTTAATCATAAACCATCTTAAATGCTTCCTGAAAGTGGATGAGCTTTCAAACAGGTTTCTTAATATTATCATGTCCAATAACAACACCTGAGCACTCAATTTGTCCAAACAAAAGGCCTACATTGCCTGGTTTCCCATTTCCCCTTCCCCAGAAGGCCCATACCTTGGGGTGACTCACAAGATGAGTGTGGAAACTTCTGCATGTTGTTGGGGAAGGTGGCTTCTGATTACAGGTTTCTGACTTTCAGAGACCCTCAGGTTTCTGCAACACATAAAAAAGATCATATGCCATGATCAGGTGGCATATATTCCCAGATTCAAGGTTGGGACAATAGCTGCCAAACAATAAATGTATACACCACATAAGCAGAGACCCTCAGATTTCCTGAGGCTGTGACTGCTGACTTTGTAGCGACCTGAGTTCTCCTAGTTCAGCGTTTTTCAACCGCTGTTCCGCGGCACACTAGTGTGCCGCGAGATGTTGCCTGGTGTGCCGTAGGTGCAGACAAGACAAGAATTTTATAATTTTTCACTATTTTGTTTACTTAATATTTCATAATAAAGTAATTATAAAATACTTCCTTTGTGTTTATTTGATTCCTATTCAAGAGAATTACTTTATATATAGTCAATATAGGCACAGAGTTAAATTTTTTAACATTTTCTAATGGTGGTGTGCCTCGTGATTTTTTTCATGAAACGTGTGCCTTTGCCCAAAAAAGGTTGAAAAACACTGTCCTAGTTAAAGCAAAAGAGATCATTCTTGGACAGGTGGGCTGGTTTCTTTATTAAGATGACAACCTGTTACATTTATTTTCAACTTAGAAAGCTCTTTTATGTATGCTATTTCATTTAGCTACCTACATGGTAGGTTTATTGTTGTTGTTACTATTATTATTATTGTTATTATTATCCAGGATGGGGCAAAAGTAGATCACAATTATAAACTTACTTTTGCCCCACCCTGTATTAGTATTATTATCTGATTTTCCAGAGGAGAAAAATAGAGATTCAGAAAGGGAAAAATTGCCTATCATAGCCATACAATAGTAAGTGGCAGATCCAAGACTTGCGTTTAAGTATTACTGTCTGTCGTCGTAGTCCCGTTCCTCACCCCCACCCCCGCCCACCCCCATCTTCTCTTTCTCTCCTACCCTGTGGGGCTCCCTGGATGATAGTGAGTGCTGGGCTGTCCCAGGAGGAGAGGTCTGGGCACTGTCAGGCCCGGCCTCTCTCATTCACCTGGAGCAGCTTCACTTCTGTCTGTTTTACCAGCTGACAGTTTTAAAATTTTTGTTTAATCATTTTCTGTCATAAAAAGAATTTGGAAAAACCCCAGTCTAGGACTGCCTCATTTTCTAAAAATGTTTCTCATCTTTTTCATTTCTTAGAAACCCAGAACTTGGTGACAACGGCAGTCAGAAGGGCTGGTGGTTTCCGAACTGGTTTGAAAATGGGTAAGACTATGAGACACTGGTCTTTGTTTCCACCGACTGAACATGTGTAGAGTCCAGATAAATAGTGTCATCACCATGGCTGTCTCAGTCACTCATGTTTCTGACTTATTAAAATCATACAAGGAATCTATTTCATGGTGGGCAATGGAACATTAAAGGTTTTTGTTTTTGTTTTTTAAGTTTGGGGTGAGTGGGGATTGGGCTGAAGTTCAGGTTGTGGAAAAGATTATCATAAGATGTCCTTATGTGGACTATTTGATAAAATTCCCCCACCCCTGAAATCTGAGGGCCGGTGTGTTATTAAACTGCTAACTATGCTGTCTTGGATCATCATAACAAAGGGGTGTACTGCGTCTTTTCACCCAAAATATGTCCTTATGAATAACCGTTTAGTGTTATGAACCTTCTTCAGCCAGTCACTAACTTCCCAACATGGCAGATACCCTCCCTGCCTTACTCACCCTGCTTTCCCTTTGTACATAGGACCCACAATTCCCAAGAGGAAGAAGACATAGAGAGAGAAAAGGAAGACAACGAAGAGCTTCAGCTATCCGACTGGTTCGATCCAGAGTAAGGGTGTCCCCCACGTGCAGTAAATCCATGGGTTAGCGGGAGGTGGCAGGGGGCTGTGTAGGCAACAGTGTCACTGAGCACATCCCTCAGTGGGGAGACAGAATCTTAGACCTTTAATGACAGATAAGATGAGAAACAGAGTCTGGATGTTTTGACTCAATTGCTGGAACAATAACACGGTGACTGGCCAGTGGTAGCAGGTGAATCACAAAATACTCAGCTGTGGTCTTAAAGACGGCAGGTTGTGGAAAGCCACAGGATGGAGAGTCAGAGCAAGAAAATTCTCTCTGAGATTCAGTTAAACTCATCTGTAAAATGGTAACGGTGATGCAAAATGTCAGGGCCACACATGCATTTTTTCAGCATGAAATTTTAGCAAGAAATATTTATCTAACATCTATGATAGGCTAACTGGTGTTTTTCAAACTACCGGTCACTCTCCATTACTGTGTTCAGATAATAGCTTACTAAGCTTTTTTAAAAAAAATTTAAAATAGACAATCAGAGGGCATAAAAATGGGGATTAGGTTTTAAAAAACTTATAAATTTGGGGGTGGAGGGAAAGCACACAAACAATGTGTCCCATCTATTAGCATTGCCCAAGCTCAGCAGACGATATATGGTGGAGATGGAGGATGAGAAGCCATCAGAATACAGGTGCCAGTGGGATCTGCCACCTGTCTCAGACCACCCTCTCATGAGGGTAGCACACTTTTACGGTGACACTTGTACTTGCTGAGCAGGATTTGAGTGGCGGGTCAGGGCTGAATTACTAGGAACAGAGAGGAGGGCCACCAGCTGTCATTCTCTTCAGTCTCCCCCATGCATGGCTCAGCTTCTCTCTAAAGGAATGGTGAGCAGATATTTAAAGAATATTGGTTTGAATTTAAGCCTTCTCAGGCACCAGAGTGCGTTTCTCACATAAATGACTAGATCAACAATGGAATAAACAAATAAATATATTTACTATATAAATGTATTCTTTTCTGTAAATTACCTAAAACATCACAGTATGTTGTGTACACATTTCTACATCAATATCTCTCAGCTTCTGGTGTCTCAAATACAAGACACCAGATCCTTGTATTTTTCCTCCTACTCCCCATTCTCCCTTCTGTCTCCTTGACTGGGGCTTCTCCTTTCCCGCCTTCACAGATTAGAGCTTCTGGAGGTTGAGTCCAGTATCCTCATCTCTTCTTTACACACCACCTTCCATGTGCTCTCATCCATTCTCAGGGCATTAGAGGACACCTGTATGAGACTGATACCCATGTATATCTTTAGCCCAAAGGTTTCCTCTGAGCACTGACTGTCTAACTGTCTGCGTGCTGTCTCTGCATGTCTCATGTGATTCCACCAAACACTTGTTCCCATTTCCCATCTCAAGCCAGGGTCTAGGACAGCTCTCTGATTCAGCCTCCTCCTCCACCCATCCTACAGTCTAAATCATTAATGTGTTTCTGTTAATTCTTTCTCTAAAATTCTTCCCACATCATCTTATCTGCATTTCACAGCCCCCACCCTTGTCCCTGTTGCCATAGGCTCTTTGCTGGGTCTCTTCAGCAGCTGCTGCTTAGAAGGCATTCACTAAGTAATGTGTACATTCCACATCTTTGTTGACCTGCACAGTTAATGGAATTTTAACACCACTTGGGTAGATACTACAATGTTCCCACAAATGAGTGCATACAATGAAAAAGCTACCAATCTCACGAGTGTTAGGTTTTGGTTCTGGAGCCCTTTTAACTTGTGGTACGCCTTTGGCCTGTACTGGTTAACTCGGTGGATACTCTGCTTGGAAAGTTTTGGGAGCAGCCCCTAGTCTTTCCCAGCAGCACTTCCCCTCCTTTTAGAACCCCATCTTTGTGACCTTGAACATCTTTGGCAGTTGAGAGTGGCAAAGGCTAGCTCTTGCACATGAGTCTTGATGACTAAGACACCTTGATAAAGAGGTTCATTCAGGAAACTGATCTTATCCTGTCTCCCATCTCCTCCCCACCACTCCCTGCGAGTCATCTGGCTTCTTTTCTTAGTCAGGGGAGCTGACATATTGGACTTGCCAGTGGAATTTAATAGTTAACAGATGGGAAATAGAACATTTTTAATTAAACATTAATTTTTAATAGTGCTATTTTTTTTTTCCTGCTCAAAGGAACTTTCCCAGCCAAGTAACCAAACTGAGCACTGGTTTTCTGACTCAGTCTTTCTAAAAGTTGTGACCTGAGTGGTCATGTAGTTGAAGTGTGTGTAGGAGGCTAGCCACCTGTCAGGACTGAGATTCACAAGGGAGAGTAGGGGGTAGGAAGTTCTCATTTCTCTGATCCCCGTGCTCAGCACTGGGCCTGGTAAAGGAGAAGGAACTTCCAAAATGTATACCAGGAGATTGAGTGCCCTGGTCTGGCCCTTCCTATAAATTAAATGGCTCAAGACCAAGTTCCTTTCTCCTATCCTGCCTCATTTATTTGTAAAATGGAGATGATGACAGCATCTATTTTATAATCCATGGTAAGGATTAAATGAGGCAGTGAAAGTCAAGTACTTAGGCCCTGTGTACCGTAAGTATTCACTACACCAGTTCCCTTCCTTTCCTCCTCTTTTCCTTTTTAAGAAATTATTATTACCTGCCTAGCAGATGTCCAGCTCCTACACAACTGCATGACTTAGGCTGGGTCAGAACTGTCAAAAGGTCCTTGACAAGCTAAAACAGAACTGCAGTGAGGTGACAATAAGTTCAGAAATGTTGGTTATGGCAGTGGGGTATGTGTGTGTGTTTTTTGAAATTCTGTCATTTAACAAAGCTGGGGCTTTTGTGTGACTAAAGCACTACAAAAGCTTCTAAAAACAAAAGGGGGAAAAGATAATTTCTAAGTCTGCAGTGATAAAACTACTGAAGTAGCTAAATTGAGAGTAAGTAATGGCAGACCCAGGTTTTAGCCCCAGCTTCATCAGCATAGCAAATAAATGTCCACATAAGAAGTGATATAGGGTGGTGGCTCAGAGCACAGACTCCAGATTTAGCCTATCTGGGTTCAAATTCCAGCTTTGCCCCTTACTAGCTATGTGACCTCAAGCAAGTTATTTAACCTCTCTGTGTACAGTTTCCTCTTTGATAAAATGAGAATCAAAATAGCATCCACCTCTGAAGGGTGAAACTCTTAGCACATTACCTGGTCCCACAGGAAGTGCTCAGTGTGTGTTAGTTACCATCATCGGTGGCACAAGTTAACAAATCTTCCTGAGCCTTGATTTTCTTACCTGTACAATGGACATACTACATGGCATAGCAAGGAAATGTCCACATAAGAAGTGATATAGGGTGGTGGCTCAGAGCACAGACTTTGCCTCCAACACTGACCTTCTTCCTGCAATGGATGAAGTACAAGCAAATGCCTAGCAGGATCAGGCCTGTGTATGCTGGAATTTACATAGAAATGTCTGTTTCAGTCTCTGCTTCCCAAGGGGGAAATGCTGCTACTTCCTGAGCAAAAGAGGGTCAGAGCTGAGTCTCCACCACCCGCTCCGGGCTGAGTACCAGCCTTGTGCTGGGCCTCAGCTGCTCCTGAGCCTTTCTGCCTTTACCTTCAGCTTGTTGTAGCTCTGACGTTGCTTCCTGTGTTTGTATTGGCTTTGCCAAGTTCCTTTCAAGTATTCTGAGTGCAGACAGCATGCTTTTCCCCTCCTCTCTGTGCTCCTAGTCAGGAGGCCCATGTCTGAGCTGGGTGCTCCAGCCTGGGCTATAGGGGCCTCTGCTGGGTCTGTTCTTTTCGGGCGGGACACACACACACACACACACACACACACACACACACACACACACTCTCCTTATTTGTGAAATAAATGGTAACACCAGAACCCCCAAGTCTGGGGCTCTTTTGGGCCTCTAACAAGGTTCCTACTCAGAAATCCTTTTATTTCTGAAATGTGAAAGGCACATTGAAATGGTTTCTCTCTTTCAGCTCATTGCCCCTTTCTCATCACCCTATATCAAGGATCAGGTCTTTCTTAGGCTCAGATGGTACCTGCAGGCATAATAACTTAGGAAAGGGCTGAGGAGATAGGAAAGAGGATATGAGATGAGCAGGGAAGATTCCCATAACAACCTCCAGGGGCACCTGGGCCTCCCATCCCACACCTGGAAGAGGCTGCCCCTGAAATGTCCTATGATGCAGCCAGGATTCAGGGACAATGACTGCAAATCCCAGCTGAGCCCAAGTTTTCTGCAGTCTCTGCCCCACCTCAGGAAAGCTGTCCCCACTCACAGGACTCTGTGTTTTGTCACCAGGAAACGGCCAAAGGTGGTGACAGTGACTAGTTGGAAGGCACCTATAGTGTGGGAAGGCACTTACAACAGAGCCATCTTAGAAAATTACTATGGCAAACAGAAGATTACTGTGGGATTGACGGTTTTTGCTATTGGAAGGTAGGTATCTCCATTAAACTTGACATTGACTTCTTGTTCCAACTGTCAAAATGCTTGTGATGGTCTCCCTGGGTCTACAGAGGCTTTTCATGACTTGTTTGAATGCTCAGATGGGAGGATGTTATAATGGGACCATTTCAGTCTCATTTCTGTTGAGACCCCCCAAAAATGAGGACAAAACCATAGTCGGTGAGTGGACTCTTTCCAACTTCAAAGTGAGGTTTCAGGATATAGGTAAAAATGTCTGCTATACAAACTGAGCCCAGAGTGTACAGCTCACCCACAGTCACCTTCGCCCCGATCTCCATGGCTTTCTCTGGACATTCCAAAAATGCCAGCGGTTAGTGCATCGTTCTTTCTTTCCATGCTCTCAAGACCTAGGACCAAGGACGAAAGCTCTTAGAGCAGGTCCTCAGTGATCTAAGTGTGGTGGTTTTCCACGTAGGAGCTGGCTGACCACTCTTCCTTGGGTTCCTCCTGGAGGACTTAGGCCCACAGAGATTTGGCTGGCCAGAACTTCCTCTTGTAAAAGTTGGATAGGTTCCTCTTTCAGCTTCCTTTTCCTTGTTTAGAATGTTTCTCCCCAAATTTTAATCATTCTTGAAATTGGTAGCTCGTAATATTAGTTTTAAAATACAATGCATTTCACTCTTTTGGAGATTTTTCAAATAAACAAAACAAAAAAAGAAGCAAATGTTCAATTTTCCTATTTCTTTCCCAACCTCATCTCCTGGCTTTCTCATCAATACCTTTTCTGAAAGCCATGTGGAAAGCTGACCCCTTTGCCCAGTACAAAGAGTTGAAGGTCCAGGTTGATATGAGCTCAAGCTCTGCCCACCATAGCACCTAAAGGAGAGCTCTGTAGACCTGATAGTCCTCCTAAGTCCTCCAACCCAGGGGTCAGAAGCCATGACCGGCTATAGTTTTGACATTTTTACTAGAAGAATCAGTATTGTTGAGTTGGGAGCCAATATTCACCCAGCTCACCTAATCCTTTGGCAATAGAAGGGACAAGCCAGCCATGCTGCAGGTTGATTTGATCCTGGTGTTTCCAAAGAGAACAGAACTGCCCCACATGACTTCAACCAACAGTTATGTCAGTGAGAGAAACATCTAAACCTATAAAGAATTTTAAAAAATATATATTTTATTGATTTTTTACAGAGAGGAAGGGAGAGAGATAGAGAGCTAGAAAAGTCGATGAGAGAGAAACATCGGCCAGCTGCCTCCTGCACACCCCCTGCTGGGGATATGCCACAACCAACGTACATGCCCCTGACCGGAATCAAACCTGGGAACCTTCAGTCCGCAGGCCGACACTCTACCACTGAGCCAAACCAGTTTCGGCTAAACCTATAAGGAATTTTTATAGGATTTTATTTGACCCAAATTGATAACAGTTGTCGGGAAGTAAGACCTCAAATGTTTGAGAGAATGACAGTTTTGCAGTTTCTTTTATGCATTTGAAATTAAGGAGGAAACATAAGAAATATTACATGAGTGCCGAAACCTGTTTGGCTCAGTGGTAGAGCATCGGTCTGCGGACTGAAAGGTCCCGGGTTTGATTCCGGTCAAGGGCATGTACCTTGGATGCGGGCACATCCCCGGTGCGGGGTGTGCAGGAGGCAGCTGGTCGATGTTTCTCTCTCATCGACGTTTCTAGCTCTCTTCTCTCTCCCTTCCTCTCTGTAAAATATCAATAAAATATATTTTAAAAGAAAATAAATATTACATGAGGGTGGAAGAAAGCATGGTGTATGGGATAGTTAAGATTATGTGCTCTCTTGAGGGTGGGACTCTTATTTCAAAGGTATGTTAACCTAGAAGCACAGAAACAATGGACAGAGCTTGCTTAAAGTTAAAAATAAACCTTTTACTAAAGAAGTTATATGCCTGGGGCGTGACTACCCACCATGATCTATCCAATTAGGAATTTATGATCTGATAAACTGGTTTACATTCTGTATAGCCCCCCTTTTTGTCCACAGTTGCAACTGCGGAACCAAAGGGTAAATAACATGTCCAGTGAAAGCCCTGTGCTCTCTGCTCTGAGGCAGGAGAGGACTATATTCATCGGCAGTAAATCTTCACAAGAGTGTATTTGGACTTTTAGGAGGTGTGATGTTTGGTTTATTTTCAAATAACAATGCAATCTCAGTGCTCCAATCTCTAAACAGTGTTAGACTACACAATGGCTCACGTCCTCCCCACAGGATTATTTCCCAGCTTCAGGGCACTACAAATTTTTCTTAAAGGTACAAAACACCAAAGAATTTCCTAGCCATCAGCCACAGAGCCATGTCGAAGTCCTTCTTTATACTGCTCAGATTCATGTTCTCCATTTAAGGACTCAGTACTGTAAATGCTTAGGTTTTTAGCGGCCTCCATTATAAATACACTTTAATTGGGTAGTAAAGAAAGGGATCCAAGCAGCAACCAATAATTATTATTACCAGTTATTATTACTCACAAGACATCATGGTTGGCCAGTACTGTGATTATCCCATTAAATTCAGTCCACATCCACTGAGCATAAGTCTGGGGTTTGCATGAGTTGGGTCAAGCCATCTTTCTACTCCTCCCTCTTGTCTCTGATCCACATGGCTTTACAAGGGAGTATGTAGCTGGGTTACAGAAGATATCAACATGGTATTTTTTGAATGAACAGACAAACATCTAAAATACTACTACACACCTATTTGAATGGCCAAAATCCAAAACACAGAACACCAAATGCTGGGAAGTAACAGGAACTTATTGCTTGTGGTACTACTCCTTTGGAAGACAGTTTGGCAGATTCTTCACAAAACTAAGCATACTTTTACCATGCAATCCAGCAATTGTGTTCCTTGGTATTTACACAAAGGAATTGAAAACATGTCCACGTAAAAGCCTGCAGGCAAATGTTTATAGCAACTTTATTCATAGTTACCAAAAGTGGGAAGCAGCCACAATATCCTTCAGTTGAATGGATAAACTATGGTACATCCAGATGGGAATATTATCTGTATTAGTGACACAGAGGAACCTAAGTGTATATACTAAGTGAAAGAAACCTATCTGAAAAGGCTACATATTGTATGATTCCATACTGTACGACATTCTGGAAAAGGTAAAACTATGGAGATAGTAAAAAGGTCAGTAGTTGCCAGAGCTGGGTTGAGGGAATGAATGAATAGGTAGAACACAAGATTTGGGGGACAATGAAAATTCTGTATAATACATAATGGTAAATTCATGCCCTTATAGATTTGTCCAGACCCATGGGATGCATACCAAGAGTGAACCTTAATGTAAACTATGGACTTGGGGTGATAATGATGTGTCAGTGTATGTACACTGACTACAACACATATTCCATCCTGGTGCTGAATGTTGTAAGTGGAGAAGAATATGGGAGAGAGAAGGGACAAGGGGAGTATAAGGAAACTCTGTGCTTTAAAAAAAAATTTTTTTTGAAAACATTTTTTAATTGATTTCAGAGAGGAAGGGAGAGAGAGAGAGAAATGTCAATGATGAGAAACATTGATCAGCTGCCTCTTGTATGCCCCCTATTGGGGATTGAGCCCACAATATGGGCAAGTGCCCTGACTGGGAACTGAACTGTGACCTCGTGATTCATAGGTCTATTTTCAACCACTGAGCCATACTGGCTGGGCAGGAACTCTATGCTTTTGGTTCAATTTTTCTGTGAACCTAAAAATGTTGTAAAAAATAAAGACTTTTTTAAAAAGAAAAAAAATAGTTTAAATAAGGCTAACTCAGAGGTTGTTTGCTTTGATATTTGGATGGGACTTATTATGGTGGTATCTGGACAATGGATTGGAGTTTTGGGTGATCAGTGGGAGGCTTACAGAGTGAATATGTAATATGGGAAGATATCCATGTCCCTTTACTCATTCTCTAGGTTCCAGAGTGGCAATGTTCAGCTTAATGCATCCCCATAGGACCCAAGGGTCACATGGTGCATCTGGTAGGGTAGTAGCAACATTGGGATATAGGTTGGAGTTTTTGAGGAAGGCTAATGGAGTTTTTGATGTTAGTTAAAGGGTGTAAACTTCTAGTTTTAACATGAGTAAGTTCTAGGGATCTAATGTACAGCCTGGTGATTACAGTTAACAATACTATATTATGTAGATTTAAAAGTTGCTAAAAAAGTAGGTCTTAAATATTCTTACCACAAAAGAGAAATGGTAATTATGTGACATGATGGAGGTATTTTTTAACTAAGGTGGTAATTATTTTGCAATATTTTAAGTGTATCAAATCAACACTTTGTATACCTTAAACTTATTTTACATAGTGCTACCAATAAAGCTTGGAAGAAAAAAAGAACTCACATCCCCTTTGCCTACCCAAATTCTAAACCAAAACAAAGGGCTAAGGCAGATGGTAGTAAATATCATCTTCATTACAGTTGAGGCTGGCATTGGAGAATGTGGCTTATATCTTGTAGGCTCCAGGCCACCTAACACTGAACCACAGAAGTAGAAAGACTCGGGCAACCAGGCAACTATAGCACTAGAAACTCCAGGCCTCTGTACATCAGAATGGTGTCTGTACCACTAAACATCCTGTAAGGCCCAAAGCATACATACTATCTCCAACACATACAGTTTCCAAGAATGAGAGGAGAGGAGGGGCAGGGCCATTCGTGGCCAGTCGCCTTTCCAAAATTGGAAGCCAGTAAGTCCCTCCACTTCCCCAAGGCAGAGTGACTGAACAGTGGAGAGCAGTGAGGAATGTTATAGTAACAGATTTCTCTCCACATGAAAATGTACATCTATGATAGGAAAAAAATAGTTATCTCTCGACTTCAAAATACAAACAAAATTATTAGAAAGTACATGGTCTCCTACAAAGTCCCAGAGGTTACATTGATCCCTTTCTTCTTTCTTTCAGATACATTGAGCATTACTTGGAGGAGTTCTTAACATCTGCTAATAAATACTTCATGGTTGGCCACAAAGTCATATTTTACATCATGATGGATGATGTCT